ATACATGAACATGACAGATTGATCGTGTGAGAAGTTTCTGTTTCTTTTGTTTGTTGTTCAACGTCGCGCTTAGAAATAGTCCAGCTATATATGACGGCGGACTGTAAATAATCGAGTCTGGACCATACAATCCTGTGATTGACATTATGAGCATCGATCCACACAATTTGGATACGAAGACATGCATCAAGCAAGTCAGCGAGCCTGACCACCCGATCCCGTAAGTCGCCTCTTACGACAAGCATAGTCATCTTCCACGGCAAGCATGGGTTGCTGAAAACCTACCCCGGATCTACACGGGTCGAGACGTTTCTGGATGAGACAGTTTCCAGAAGGTTGGCTGTTCTTATATTTGAGCGACAAGCGATATTTTGACCTGATTTGTTTCTGTTTTACTTGCCAAGTGGGGACACCTATGTGGAAACACCGAACTCCTGCCTGTGTCCAACACAATTCTGAGACCGCCTTCGTGGTCTAATGGTAGAGCGTCCGCCCGGAGAGCGGAAGGTCCGGGGTTCGATCCCCAGCCGCGTCATACCAAAAGACGTTAAAGGATGGTACTTGTTGTTATCCTGTCTGGCGCTCGGAATTAAGGGGCTAAAACAAGGACTGGTCGACTCGGGAGTCAGTATACTGTGTCTGAGTGGGGTATTCATGTTAAACTGCGGCATGGTATCTCAGTGTTCTAGCACTATAAATCGGCATCAGTCCGGACTAGTACAAGCAGGCACACACTAATACACGCGCATGCACGTCGCTATATAAGTGCAATAATCTTGGACGCGACGTTAAACCCCATTTCACCTCACCTCACCAACACTATTCTGGCCGAAAGAACGGAAACAAATTTAACTCTTTCAAATCATTCAACAGTGACAATATTCTGAATATTCGTGAGGGCACTAACATTTAGTTCTGGAGCCTGTATGGCCGCTGCTACTTATTTGATCCATTCTTTTTCATTCTTTATTGTGAACGTGAAGCGATGTGTTCAAATGTCACTATTTGATTATTCAATAAGTTCTGTACGTATCTTTTTTCTGGGTTCGCGACATTGAACCCTATTTTTCCTCATCTTAATCTTTACGTTTCAAAAGATCGATCCTGTCTGTCAATCAAAACTAGCGCATGCGTGAGAACGAATTTCCGCACTTTTGCACATATGCATAGATCAATACGAGGAAAAGACAACACGTAGCAAGTAAAGATTTTACGTATGCTATAAACAGAGATAATGCTTGTAACTACAAAATCATTTTTGAATTATGTATTTTGGCAACATCGGGCATTGATTAGCAGGTCATATTGCTGAAATGAGACACGCGAGACGGCCGTCACACACTGTAAACAGATATGACTGATCTGATTTCGGTTAGTGCAGATCGAAATCTACGATTATTTACACTGAAGTACAATCTGGTGGAAATTGTAGTCCTCTCTCTTAGATATTATTTATTTTGTTAAAGATTTTTTAGATGATTTTAATTTCAAATTCACAAAAATTACAATAAGCCTATCTATTAATATTGCAAATTACTCGAGCATAACATTACAAATTACTCCTTCAAAAATAATTCTTTAAACAGAGAAATATAATCCTTGTCAATGGTTTTCGTTCCCGCAAAACCTTTCATTTTAATTCATATATATATTCCAATTAAATATTTCAGCATTTCTATGAAGAGGGAGGACCCATGCAGTAATTAATCCTATTCTTGTGAAATGGAATCATCCGTTCAAGGTTAGAAAGCAGAGGAAAATTTCGAGAGAAGGAAGTGACTTACTGAAATATTTTGACAGATTGAAATAAAAAAAAATCTTAGTTAATATGAGAAAATTATTGGTTTAGAACTGTTTAAAACACAAGTTATTCCCTGGTAGTGGAAGCTTACTGATATACATTTTAGTGAAATAATACAACTGTTAAAAACGATTATGTCATTTTAATTAATTTACTTAAAATGGTAGAAAGATTTTTATGAACTTAAGAGAAACATCGTTAAGTAATTATATACATTATAATCTGATCAACTAATTAATGATTATTCCAACCAAATATGTAATTGATCCCGTATCAAAGTCAGAATAACATGATTTAATTGCAGGACCAACAAACACCAAATGATTCATGGTACAACATCCACCTGGTATAAAACTTAGCTTGTTGGCTCTTTCTTTTGGACATAATAAACTAAGCGGCAAAAGAAAGTATAGGTTGGCAATTTGTAACTTTCCTAAAAACAGCGATAACTAGTGGAAAGATGGTATTGGGAATATGACTGCCCAGGAAAGGTAAAAAAAAAAAACCTCACCCGAACGCGCCACTTTTGACGGCGCTCGTGCGGTGACAAAAAATGGTGAAACAGGTTTCCCGCCTATGGCCTAAACTGCACGTGCATGTTAGCTGTATAAATGCGTTCGTATGCAGGGTATAGCCACACGTGATAAAAGCACACAAAAGAAATGCCATGACTGTCACAGGAGCAGAGAGAGAGAGATAGACATCGGTATGGCCGAAATGGGGGCAACACAGGTCCAAATTGCCAGAAGGTTTGGTTGTACACCATTGACAGTAGCCAGGCTGATTCAACGGTACAGGCAGACAGGGAGGACACAGGACAGGCCTAGAACCGGACGACCCCGAGTGACAACACCACTGGAAGACGGTCAGATACGGCTCATTCACCTGCGAAACAGATTCGTAACGGCGACGGCGACGGCAGCAACAGCGTTGGGACATCCAATTAGCCAACGTACAGTACTACGACGACTTCGTGCTGCTGGAATCCGAGCGTATCGTCCTTTCCGAGGAATGGTACTGACTGCTCAACATCGACGCCTGAGACTGCGATGGGCGAGGCAGGTTCGACGCTGGCAAGTGAGAAATTGGCGTCGAGTGCTGTTTACTGATGAAAGTCGGTTTAACTTGTTTCGAAATGACGGCAGAGAACGAGTTTATCGACGCAGAGGGGAACGTTTGGCTCCGGCGTGTATTCGAGAGGTCCATCCATTCGGCGGGGGAGGTGTCATGGTGTGGGGCGGTATTTGAGGAGATCAGAAGACTGATTTTGTGATTATACAGGGAAACCTGAACGCTGTGCAGTACAGAGACCAAGTGTTGCAGCCAGTTGTGCTTCCGTTCTTACAAAACCAACAGCCTGAGCAGGGGACATTGTTTCAACACGACAATGCCAGGCCCCATACCGCAAGACTGACTCGGAACTTTCTAAACCAGCAGAACGTTGACGTTTTGCCCTGGCCTGCCCACTTACCCGATATGAATCCTATTGAACATCTGTGGGACAATCTTGACAGACAGATTAGAGCACGCATCAGCCTCCCGTCAACAGACAAGAATTGCAGCAGGCCCTGGGAGACGAGAGGCAACGGATTCCAGTCCACGTCATCAGAAGACTGACGTCATCGATGAGGCGGCGTATCACAGCATGCATTGAGGCAACTGGAGGTCATACACGCTATTGAAGGCAACTGTGTCGACAATGAACTTGTAGTGTGTCTGACAATTCTTTGGTGACATTTCAGACAACTTTTGAAAATAAAATTTCTTACCCCACCATCGTTTACCTTGAGCTTACATTACCTGTGATTGCACAATTTCATTCAAACTGTGGTTGATCAATCATTTGTTACCCCTCCCTAGGATATATTATAATTCACAACGAAACCTCTTCTTGTTATTTTTTTATCGGTCATGGAACTTAGTTTATTATTTTTTTAAAATAATATTTATTTTAAAAAGATAGTGTTGAAAGTGATAACCAGTATAATAACGCATTAAACATATTTCAAGATACAAAGAATTTGTAAAAACAAAGACAATATCTCTTTGCCACACCCTGATCAGGCATAATCCAGAGTGCCTGATCAATTCTGATACAGAATAAATTCTACATACATTTCATACATAACTGTGATGAATATTGAAATGTATTTAACCCAAAATTTAATTTTTTACCATGATTTGAGGAGATTGTCAATATTTGATAATTGAACAAGATCTGGTATTTATTGAGGATGTTAGTTATGTACATATTGTTCAAGATTTGGTTATGATTATGTTGAGAATTAACTTCATATTTACTTCACAGTGATATTGCTGGCTTCAGGCCATTTTCATGTAAGTTTTTTTTAACTTTTGATAGGACTTTACCACATTTTAGAACAACTTTATGACATTATGGATGACAATCAGTCAGTATCCTAGAAAATGAACTGGTCTGAAAGTGTGGCCATGGATCCGTATCTTAGAATTCCAAACTAAGTGACCTTGGCAAACATATTGGGAACAAAAACTTAAAACTTACGAACCCCTGAATCCGGGGTAGGATAGGTCTTCAGCAACCCATGCTTGCCGTAAAAGGCGACTATGCTTGCCGTAAAAGGCGACTATGCTTGTCGTAAAAGGCAACTATGCTTGTCGTAAAAGGCGACTAACGGGATCGGGTGGTCAGGCTCGGTGACTTGGTTGATACATGTCATCGATCCCAATTGCGTGGATCGATGTTCATGTTTTCAATCACTGGATAGTCTGGTCCAGATTCGATTATTAACAGACCGCCGTCATAGTGACTGGAATATTGCTGAGTGTGGCGTTAAACAACAAACAAACAAACAAACAATCTTCATTTTTTTAGGATGGCATAGATGTTAAAACTTTTGAAGAGGGAAAGTTTAATCACCTGGTGATAATGTATATTAAGAATCAATAAGAAGCTGTAGTATCAGTGAAATATCCCAATTATGGAATTCAACAGCTATATTCTTCCAGTGCTATGACCTTTTATCTATCAAGTAAAGGAATTGAAATCCTGTTTTCAAAATAGGTTGTCACAAACTAAGCGTACTGCCGGTTGATATCTTTTTGTGACATGTAATGTAAGTGGGGGGAATTATTCAATAATATTGTTATTGAAATGTTTGTGGAGTACGTGTTGCCTTCGCTTTGGCTTAAAGGAACTTATATCAGAAGATACACTTACGCAACATCATACTCAGATGAAAATTCCGTGACGGAATCTATCCAGAGTTCTGTAGGTTGCGCAGTCGGAGCAGGGATCCGAGTTCCATCTGCAATATGAAAAACAAGGGTATATATACCTAAGTCTAGTTAGAATCGATGACTAGACAAGATGATAATAACACTTATATCTATAATGATCATTATGATAATAAGACTTTACTGACTGACTGACTGAGTATGGTTTTACGCCGCTTTATAAATATTCCAGCAATATCACGGCGGGGGACACCAGAAATGGGCTTCACACATTGTACCCATGTCGGGAATCGAACCCGGGTCTTCGGCGTGACGAGCGAACGCTTTAACCACTAGGCTACCCTACCGCCCCTATAAGACTTTACAAAAATTAGACTCCGGTCTAAGAAACATCAATTTTCAACGCTCTAATTCAGTACGCCTCAAGCAACCGAGCATGCTCTTTCTACCAAGAGGCACGGGTGGCCAAGTCGTCTAAGGCGCCGCAATTCGCTGTGCAGAGTTGCGTCCCTTGGGCACGCCAGAAACCTATGATTGTGGGTTCGAATCCCGGTTCGCCCATGTTTCTAGGTTTGTCAGCATCATACCGGTGCTCGTGGGTTTCGCCGATGTGGTGAACGTCTGAGACCTGCATCACTTCGGGCTTTCCTCCCACATTAAGCTGACACGCCGTGATATAATGTTAAATCTTGTTCAGAAGTTGTTTGATCAAGGTTACAACACTCAAGGCCCTCCTAGTAAAGCTTTCGAAATATTTTATTGTAGGCATGGGAGAACATTTCCAAATTTGACGCATCAATGACCAAAACGTTGTCCGATGTAATTCCTTATCTTCAATTGTATCATATGTTCCCCTGGATTTTTCTCTCGTGTACAATTGACTTGCCTCTGCATGTGTTTGTGACGGGTGCCACTGTTGGGGCAGGATATGTTCACCTTTTCCCGAACAGCTGGTATCATTAAAATTTGACAGCGTTACACAAACATCTTCTTGTGATATAGTCGGATTCGCACAATTGATTCTGCTTTTAGCAGAAATTTCTTGTAACTATAGACAGTGTTTTTGGTCGATTATATTTATACCAAGTTAGGCTACATATCTCCGTAAAAGAATCAAATGAATTCTATTTGCTTGCATAGATATCTGCATGTAAAATGATTTTTAAAAAACCCAGCAAAAACAATACTGTATTTAAAAACCCAATGCAGCCTTTTCAGCTTCGTGCCGGTATTTTCTAACTTATCGTGAAAGAGCTACCTCTCACTTATTGTAACTCGATCACACAGATATCACCGTTGTGAGCTTGAAGTGCGGTTCGGGTGATTTTCGGCACAGGGGTTCACGCGAAAGTGGAATCCAAACAAAACTGGGTGCGAAAAGCAATGCCTCAAACACGAAATCAAACACGTTATTTTGGGCATGTGACGGAGGTCTGTAAATAATAGAGTATGGGCGAGACTTTCTTGTGATTGAAATCATGAGCATCGATCCACGCATTTAGAATATTGCTGAGTGCGGCGTTAAACAACAAACAACAAACAAACGAGGGCAGTCAGTCATAGATAATACGTAACAATAAATGATCAATTTATTTCCGTATCCAAGTTCGTTTAGTTTTGTGGATCTCCCTCACGGACAGATGCCTCAAAATGCAAGAATAACAATCTGGTCGGTTTCCATTTTCATCCTCGCTGACATCGTTTCATCCAAACTTTCCTCCTCGCTAAGACATTTCAAGACATGACACTTGGTACTTATGTTTGATGAACTTGTACAGCCCCACACCTAAACACTGCACATTTTTGTGTCTTCAATACGTCGAAGATAACAGAAAATCACTCCTTTGTCATGTAGATTAAAGCACTTTAAACGAAACAAAATGGCGGACGTCTCTCCACTATGACGTCACAGCTACAGCTCGTCCTCTTGCTGGTGGTTTCAATATGCATAGGCGCTGGTTGTGGGAGCAGGGTAGTAACAATGAAATCTCATAGGACTCTTTTTTGGTGTAAATGTGTACTTCGTAAGACCCTTTAACGTGTTTTTAAAAGGTTGGGTTTTTTTCAATAGATTTCCTTTATAATTTTCTGGTATAGCGTTGATAGACATAGTTCAATAATGGTCAAATAAGCGATTCCATTCCCTTGATTTAACTACCTGAATTAGAAATAACGGAGACCAGTAAAAGAGCCTCAGGTCGAACAATATTCCCACAATCCAGCATCCCCATTCTTCGAAAATTTCAAAGAGCGTCAAACGACTCTTCCTAAATATGTGTTTGATCAGTGTAACTACTACATTCAAGGCTTTGTAGCTTTTAAAAAGGTGTTTGGTAGACACATGAAGGACGTTTCCAAATTTGACGCATCAGTGGCACAAAGTCCGATGCAATTCCCAGTTTTGACTTGTACAACGTTTTACCGTGTATTTTCAGGCGAGAAGCTGACTTGGAAGTGAATCATAAACACATGTTTAGGATATGATCCGAATCGTACTGTACGTTATGCTTTAAGACCCGTGAGGATCCGGGGTAGAATAGGTCTTCAGCAACCCATGCTTGCCGTTATAGGCGACTATGCTTGTAAAAGGCGACTAACGGGATCGGGTGGTCAGGCTCGTTGACTTGGTTGATGCATGTCATTGTATCACAGTTTCGTGGATCGATGCTCATGATGTCAGTCACTGGATTGTCTGGTCCAAACTCGATTATTGATAGACCGCCGTCATATAGCTGGAATATTGATGAGTGCGGCGTTCAACAACAAACAGACAAACAAACAAAAAGATTATGCTTTAAGCATATTTGTGTGTGATTATGGATATTTAAATAGATCATGAAGGAATTCTTAAGCAAAAAAACATGTATACTCACCAGTGAAGTCATAACCAAACCAACCATCATCGTCCAGCATGGTCAAACTACTCAGGGGACGAGAGCTGAGGGTACACAACCCTGTACTGTTTTCTACAAAGAACGCCAGACACTCCTCTTCGTATGCACATTCCTTAGCACAGTCAGCGTTGTTTAATGACACAAAGCTTCTTATTTTATAGTTGATTGGCTTGACGTCTACAGACCCTGGTGAAATAGTCTTATTATAACAGAAACCAAGGCTGTGACACGGATCAAGAAATGGTAAAACAGACAATATTCCCAGTAAGTCTAGTCTTGATTCCATATTGTCAGCTTTCGAATAATTGAACTTATGCCATCGGATGTGTGAAGTCGACTGATAACCTGTCGCCAACCCTCTGGAAACTACAATCTTCATGTGATGTTATCTTGAATAGATTTTCCCTTGAGGGGAGCACTTCAGGTAAATAGGTCTGTTTAACAGTCAAAGGATTCTTTGTAACTGATGAGTTTTATCGATCCCATCTTGTCCAATCTTGCATCTTCCATTTATCTACCGACATCGATTGTGTTTTTTTGTGATATAATGCATTTTATCTCGTACGAAAAGCACTTTCACCTTAGACTAATAAAATATTCAACAGGGGTCGTATGGCACAATGGGTAGATTGTCTGCGAAGGAAAGACGTAGCTGACAGTGGCTTTCAATTTACCGTTTATTGGAATTAAATACACGTAAATGTACAGCTGTGTACAAAAAGTAGGTTTTTGTTGATCTGAGGCATAGCAGCCATGTTAGAAAACCCTATGTGTGGCCATTAATCAGATATGTTAGTAACAATGTTAAAAATGTTTTGTTTTTCTAAATGATGTATATTTGGACGTTGATAAGGCCTTGCTCTTATATTCTCTCCAAATGTCTTGCTCACATTGTAAAGATCGTCTCCTAAAACCCCGCTGATATTGTAAAACTGAAATTTCTCAGGCTTGTTCCCACTAAAAATGACACCTTGTGTGTTCACGAGGGTAGATTCCGATTTTTACTTTTGCTGCCACAAACAAAAACAATTTTAGCCATTACACAACTATGTTGTGTTGAAAGTGTAAGTATTTATTTTCTATGAATATTTAATTTGCAGTTGGACTCGTAAAATGCATTGTGCTTCTGTAAACATCTTCTCCTCTTAAACTCTGGTATGTATATATCTCCTTACAATGTCATCATATTGTTACAGTAACTGTTGTTTGAGGTCCTCTGTGCACGTGTTTAAGTAAAAAACATTAAAAATCAATATTAGTGCTGACATAAACTTTTGTAAATGGCTGTCTTTGTTGACATATATACCGTGAAGATCCTGGTTAAAATGGGTCTTCAACAACCCATGCTTGTAAGAGCAAAAATCCACCTTTGCTTGATGCATGTCATCTTATCCCAATTGCGTGGGTCGATGCTAATGGTCACTGTGTTGTCTGGCCCAGGCTCGAATATTTACAAACCGCCCTTACATAGCTTGATATTGCCGAGTGCGGCGCTAAACAACAAACAAACAAAAAAACAAATTGACATATAAAAAAGTTGTCTACACATCCAGGTGAGCTACAGTCCCGCTATTTCTAATCTAATATAATCAATATAATTGGTACGTAAACACATTATTTTTTTCCTGAGGCCCCTTTAACGATTGCAATTGTAGATAGACTGAAAGTCATCTGAGCCTTTTGTTGACGATGTGAATAACAATAACATGACGAGTGTACAGTACCGTAACGAAGTGGTCGTTTCAAACTTCACAGCAAGTCACGTAGTACAAGCACATGCTTCATATTTATCGTTGTTTGGTTGGTTTGTTGTTTAACGCCGAACTCAGCAATATTCCAGCTATATGACGGCGGTCTAAATAATCGAGTCTGGACCAGACAATCCAGTGATTGATATCATGAGCATCGATCCACGCAATTGGGATCGATGACATGCATGAACCAAGTCAGCGAGCCTGACCACCCGATCCCGTTAGTCGCCTTTTACGACAAGCATAGTCGCCTTTAACGGCAAGCATGGGTTGCTGAAGACCTATTCTACCCCGGATCTTCACGGGTCTCGTATTTATCGAGTAAAACAGCACACCAAATTCTACTATTCTAACAATAAAAGTTATTGCTCACAAAGTATTTGATAATCAGTTAACGTACATCAATGCGAGAATACTTTTAAGATTATTGAATTACATATACGTGATATTCATGATGTTTACGTGGGCCACGACGAAACAAACGTGTTTACACAAGTACCATATGTAGCTTTTAATTCCGATTTAATCTGGTTTTTTTTATGATTAGAAAAACAGCGAGCCTGTATAAAACCAATGCATTATTTTAAAAGGTTTGGAGTAATAATATTTACATTGATATGAAATTGTCACGATTTTCTAAGGATTGATTGTCTTCATGTTAGGTTGTTGATTTTATTTTAATCTAAAATGTGCGTCGGTACGCAAATGTTTTTACATGGCTTTCTTTCTATCACGTGTTTATAGATGTATTGATAATTGAAGTGTGCCGAATACAATAGCAGAATATGGTATTGTACATTCCGTTGTCGACAAGTTCTTACGATATTAATAGATGAAGATTTGGTCACATCCCGCTTTTTAGATTTTAGCGAACACCTTGCTTCGTCCCTATTTGACGGTTATTCACAACAACATGAAGTATGAAAAGTCAGAATTGTACAATGGAATCGATTATAGAAAGGATATTGTCGCTTTTATGTATATTGTAACTCATTTACTTACCATTTTACTGATCATGATTTTCTTGAAAATATGTTGCCACTTAAGTATACATCCATCCACATACACAGTAAGTGAGTGAGTTGGGTTTCACGCCGTTGAACAGTTACTATATTTCAGTAATACCACAGCCCGTCAGCTTGACGTGGAATGAAAGCCGGCATTCGTGACCAACTCGTGCTATTCCGGGACAAGCCGAATAGCGACTCGTGCCCCTCTCATGGCCATTTTAGCGACCGGGTTCCGTCTGAGCGCAAACGGGCATACCTAAAACAATTGTCACCTCGTTGCGTAATGGTTTACATATATTTCCCCATTTATTATATATATTTCAGATGCAATTTAAAGCACATCGGGACATTATACAGCATGATTGAACACATTTAACTGTGTCTTGGGTATATGTTTAGATGCAAGACATATGTAAAATCAAACATTATTTCTGAGGGATTCTTTGACGAAGAACTTGAAATCACACGCGCATTCTGATTGGGTTGTCGTATTTTCGCATATAACATTCATCAATAGGGGGACGAGTCTTCTTGCAGGTTACGGAAGGGGGCAAGTGGTGACGAATGGAAAGCCGGGTATGATGCATTCTTTAGACCGTAGCTACTGTGGTGAATTCCACGATCACGGCGTTACCCTAAGCAACTTCGAAATTCCCCCTTTTCACTCAGGAGCAAATGGGTACACGGCAGGAGGTTGGTTAGTTGGTTTATAGATAACGCAATAGTCCAGCTATATGACGGCGGTCTGTAAATAATCGAGTCTAGACCAGACAATCCAGTCATAGATATCATGAGCATCGATCCACGCAATTGGGATCGATGACATGCATCAACCAAGTCAGCGAGCCTGACCACCCTATCCCGTTAGACGCCTCTTACGACAAGCAGGGGTTGCTGAAGACCTGTTCCACCCCGGATCTTCACGGGTCACACGGCAGGAGGAGATGGTGAAGTAACTGCAGAAGGATCCACAGGCGATTAACTTGTGTCATATTCACTGACAGTATTGGATCAGGTCTTGCTTGATGATTGTTGTGTGTATATGAACTCAATTAGTACTCTCACTAAAAGAATTCAGACGCATTTACATTTTCACTTTGACTACTGTGATATGAAGCTGAAAACTTTGACTTCTGTGATATGAAGCTAAACACTTTGAATACGGTGATATGAAGCTGAACACTTTGACTACTGTGATATGAAGCTAAACACTTTGAATACGTTGATATGAAGCTGAACACTTTTACTTCTGTGATATGAAGCTGAACACTTTGATTTCTGTGCTATAAAGCTGAACACTTTGACTTCTGTGATATAAAGCTGAACACTTTGACTACTGTGATATGAAGCTGACCACTTTAACTACTGTGATATGAAGCTCAATTCTTTGACTACTGTGATATGAAGCTGAACTGAACCATTTGACTACTGTGATATGAAGCTGAACTCTTTGCCTACTGTGATATAAAGCTGAACACATTGACTACTGTGATATGAAACTGAACACTTTGACTTCTGTGATATAAAGCTGAACACATTGACTACTGTGATATGAAGCTGAACTCTTTGACTACTGTGATATAAAGCTGAACACATTGACTACTGTGATATGAAACTGAACACTTTGACTTCTGTGATATGAAACTGAACTAAACACTTTGACTACTGTGATATGAAGCTGAACACATTGACTACTGTGATATGAAATTGGAACACTTTGACTTCTGTGATATAAAGCTGAACACTTTGACTACTGTGATATGAAACTGAACACTTTGACTTCTGTGATATGAAACTGAACACTTTGACTTCAGTGATAGGAAGCTGAACACTTTGACTACTGTGATATGAAGCTGAACACTTTGACTTCTGTGATATGAAACTGAATACTTTGACTACTGTGATATGTGAAGCTGAACACTTCGACTTTTCAAGTCTGTTATGTCAGATTGAAGACATTGACTGTTATTGTGTGAAGCTGAATACATTTACAACTATTCTGTAAATATGAACACATGTGAATACTACTGTTGTGTGAAGCTGAACACTTATACTAGTTTCATGTGAAGCTTAACACGTTGACAGGGGCGGTGGGGTAGCCTAGTGGTTAATGCGATCGCTCTCCACGCCGAAGACCCGGGGCCGTTTTCCCTGGTGTCCCCCGCCGTGATATTGCTGGAACATTGCTAAATGCGGCGTAAACCATCCTCCCTCACTCACTTACATTGACGACTGTCATGTGAAGATCAACATTGCACTTAGTCTGAACACATTTACTTCAAGAAACTGAGATGGGTTATTGAGCACATTGACTTTTGTTATAGGATTCTCAAGATATTATGTGGTTACCCTTCAGTGACACATCACACGAGAACCATTGTATAATGATCTAAAACGTTTTATTTTATTTTGCCCAATTACAGAGAAACGAGATAAAATTCAACACCAGTGTTAGCGTCCTGCCTTCCTTCGAGCTGGTATTCCCCTGTACTTCATGACCAGGTAGTCCAATAAAGAGGTTGGTAGGTAATTCTTCCACACTGTCAACAGCTGTAATTGATGCACGCACACGTTAGACAACCCTACTTATCAGTGAATTGGATGAACTGGCAGTTTATACAAATCTACACGCGTGGAAGGGCGGCGGGGTGGCCTAGTTGTTTATGTGTTCGCTCGTCACGCCGAAGGCTCGGTTCGATTCCACACATGGTACAATGTGTGAAGCTCATATCTGGAGTCCCCCGCCGTGATATTGCTGACATTTGTCAGCAAAGTTTAGTTTTATTATTTTTAGTAATAACCTTAATATATGAATTCATTTGGGATGACATGAATAAACAATAACAATATAATAATTTGGCTGAGATGGCTTGGATCGAGTACGTCCAGACAGTTTATTGTGAACTGAAATATTGTCCGTTAAAGGGCTCGTTTCTTGGAGATAGGTGATGGACAATGTCTTGTATACTGCCACAATAAGCATAGCATTCATTCTTTTTCGAATTAAACCAAATGACGGAGAACATAAAGTTTGTTTGTGAAGTAAAAGTGCTCTCGCCAAAATTAAAATAAGCAGTTATCTTGATCAGAATATTTAATTTTGTAATTAAATGACGGTACATTTGTCAACCTGTAACTTGATATGGTAAAGATGTGTACCACACAGACTTGGCCGCCTCCTACGGGCTAACAGAGCTGAGCTTACAGTACAAACCAACCGTGCAAAAACAGTTTATCTGCAACATACACGTACTCCTGGGTTGCTTGCCGTAAAAAGGTGACTATGCTTGTCGTAAAAGGTGACTATGCTTGTCGTAAAAGGCGACTATGCTTGTCGTAAAAGGCGACCATGCTTGTCGTAAAAGGCGACTATGCTTGCCGTAAAAGGCGACTATGCTTGCCGCAAAAGGCGACTTTGTTTGCCGTAAAAGGCAACTATGATTGCCGTTAAAGGCGACTATGCTTGTCGTAAAAGGCGACTATGCTTGCCGTAAAGGGCGACTATGCTTGTCGTAAGAGGCGACTAATGGGATCGGGTGGTCAGGCTCGCTGACTTGGTTGATGCATGTCATCGATCCCAATTGCGTGGGTCGATGCTCATGATATTAATCACTGGATTGTCTGGTCCAGACTGATTATTTACAGACCGCCGTCATATAGCTGGAATAATGCTAAGTGCGGCGTTAAACAACAACAAACCAAACCAAACCAAATTTCTGGGTTGTTTACCTGCAAGTATTTTGTGTTTCTGCCACGTTTATTTCCCGACATGATATCGTTGTCGTTGACTCGGTTCATTATATGTGGAGATAATTATAATGTAATATGAATTTGATGAAAACAATCAACTGAAAGGCTCACCACGTCAATATCCAATAAGGTGCTTCCTCCATGAGTGGCGTACCTGTACGCTGGGCGCTGATTGGTTAAGGCATCTACAAAGTCATCAAGCAAGGGGTCAATGTTGCTACGCGAATAGGTGGTGCCTTCCTTGAACATGGACAGCATTTGGTCGAGGTAGTCGTCACCGTAGGTAGTTAAAGCCTCGTCTGTAGCACCCGACGTCATGTCTGCCATTTCCCGTCTTAAGCGTTCTGTCTGCAATGTCAGTTTCATAACACTGTGACTGACATACAAACTTGTCTCTTTCTCATTACATTAAGCTGGACCCGTAAAGATTCCGGGATAGAATAGGTCTTCAGCAACCCATGCTTGCCGTAAAAGGCGACTATGCATTTCGTAAAAGGCGACTAACGGGATCGGGTGATCAGGCTCGCCGACTTGGTTGATGCATGTCATCGATCCCAATTACTTGGATCGATGCTCATGATAGTAATCTGGTCTGGTCCAGACTCGATAATTTACAGACCGCCGTCATATAGCTGGAATATTGCTGAGTGCGGCGTAAAACAACAAACCAACCATCCAATCCTACATTAAGCTGTGCTAGACATGACAGCCACTGCACTTGGTCAAGGGAACTTTGTAACAAAGTGCTTTTTTTCTAAGGTACTACAATAACTTAATTCACATTTTAGGATAAGGGTTCAAAGGGGCCGACTATTCAGGAGATAACCTTACTGTGTTTTGAAATTTTAGGTAGTCAAACTGTAAATTAGATACCTCTTATTTTAATTTGGAACCGATCGCTTTGGCGGTATGTAATTTACAGTAAAGACTAACAAAAGGTCTTAGTACGTGTGAGTGAGTGAGTTTGGTTTAACGCCGCTTTTAACATTATTCCAGTTATATCACGGCGTGTCAGCTTAATGTTGGAGGAAAGCCCGAAATGATGCAGGTCTAAGACGTTTACCACTTCGGCGAAACCCACGAGCACGGGTATGGTCTTAGTACGTACCTAAAAGTAGTTACAAGTAGTGGCAAACATAAATCATGTTCCTAATCAAGTTCAAAATCAATTACTTGGCTGGTTCAAAATAACAGTTACAAAATACATAGTTTTTTTCAAAACCAACTGATGAATTAACCCTCCATAGATATAGATAGTTATATCGCCTCGTCACCGGACCGCCTCCGTGGTCTAGTGGTAGAGCGTCCGCCCGGTGAGCGTCATACCAAAAGAGGTTAAAAGATAGGACTTGTTGTCTGGCACTCGACATTAAGGGGCTAAAACAAGGGCTCGGAGTCAGTATACTGTGTCTGAGTGGGGTATTCATGTTAAACTGCGGCACGGTATCTCAGTGAGCTAGCACTGTAAATCGGCATCAGTCCGGACTGGTACAAGCAGCCACACAAACACACGTGCATGCACGTCGCTATATAAGTGCAGTAATATTAGACGCGACGATAAACCCCATTTCACCTAACCTCTAAGGGGGCACGGGTGGCCCAGTCGTCTAAGGCGCCGCGATTCGCTGTGCAGAGTTGCGTCCCCTTGACACGCCAGAAACCTGTGATTGTGGGTTCGAATCCCGGTTCGCCCCGATTATGTTTCTAGGTTTGTCAGCACCATACCCGTGCTCGTGGGTTTCACCGAAGTGGTAAACGTCTGAGACATGCATCACTTCGGGCTTTCCTCCCACATTAAGCTGACACGCCGCGATATAACTGGAATATTGTTAAAAGCGGCGTTAAACCCAACTCACTCACTCACTCACCTAACCTCTTAATTGTGTTCCGAGCGTCATTATTGAAGGTGTAGGGTGTCAACATATGCCAACATGCGTCAATGGTATGAGTATGTTGACAATAGCATCACCAGTTGAAGAACCAGTTGTTTATGCTGTGTTGCACTGACTGGATGCTTAAATATGGTGAACGACTATTAAAAAGTGCATAATCGAAGGTATTGCAAAACGATGCCCCAAATACACGCCTGAATGCAACCAGGGGTTCAGCTCATACGCGTGCAATACATGACAGTGAGTGAGTATGGTTTTACGCCGCTTTTAGCAATATTCCAGCAATATCACGGCGGGGGACACCAGAAATGGGCTTCACACCAATACATGACAGTACAAGTAACAGTCAATGTAGATATTTAATGATCATGATTCATTCCAGATGCAACTGAACTACACTCGACGAAGTTCGACGGTTTTTTAATACTTTTGGCTCTAAGTATCTGTGTGACCCCTTAATAATGACGCTGAGTATATGTATTCTGAAATAGACTACATCCTTTTTGCTAAGCTGTTGAGACCAAGTGTTTGTGCAGTGTATTAGTGAGTGACAAAAGCATCTGATAATATTCCGATATCGAAAGTATACAATTCTGATGAGTTATCGACAACCATTGTTACATGCAGTGAAGCGTATGCTATCGAAAGATCAATGTATTCATACCCAAGGTCTTTGTGTGAAAAGACTTATTAGTTTTGATGTGTCGAAAAGCATTCTTCAGTGTCATGGTAAAAATATTATTATTTGGGGGTTTATTAGGATTATTCTTTTAACAGTTTGTTTCAGAAAATACTTTGAAGTCTATTTTTGACTCAGGTCTAACAAAAGGAAATAAGTAGTACCCTGGGCATGTTTGACGTCTAAGAAAAAATCGTATGCTTTGAGCAAATCCAAGCTGCGATTTAGACAATACCTTTGTTGGTTTGTTTGTTTGTTGTTTAACGCCGCACTCAGCAATATTCCAGCTATATGACGGCGGTCTGTAAATAATCGAATCTGGACCAGACAATCCAGTGATTGGTATCATGAGCATCGATCCACGCACTTACGATCGACGACATGCATCAACCAGGTCAGCGAGCCTGACCACCCGATCTCGTTAGTCGCCTTTTACGACAAGCATCGTCGTCTTTTACGGCAAGCATGGGTTGCTGAAGACCTATTCAACCCCGGAATCTATACGGGCCCAATACTTTTGTCATCGTATTTCAAACTACAAGTATTTGTAACCAAACTGTGTGTTTGTCCCACCAATGACACTGCAATATTTTAATCAACCTGTCACTTTACAAACAACATGTTACCTGGCCATGCGAAATACTTGGAAAAGTGTAGATTTTAACAGCTTGTTACATATTTAGCGTTGTATTTTAAAGTCTGTATTTATGTTATCTTTCAGTGAAGTTGATCTACATAATAACATCATGCTTTTGTCTTCTAACGTTAATGCCATGGTCACCTCTAGGTCAGGGAGAGTACGGATGTGTAGCAATTGTCGTCGATCAATCTAGGCCATCTTAATGAACTCCTCACGAATTGAATAAAGTTCCGATCTCGTATGTTGAAACACGTGGTAGGCTAACGTCCGGGATTAGCCTGAATTCATTTTTCTTTCTTCAAGCGAAGTGTGGCACAAGCCTTAAGCGTATTGATTGAACACAAAACAAATACAGCTGAATAGATTATGCTTTTGCAATTGCCTCTGGACGCATTTGCTTTTTAGTTCAATAAACAATAAAGGTGTTTACCTTGTCATGACCGTTACAAAGGAAAAATGCAATTAGAAAAATGAAAGCAGAAACAAATCGACAACTTCAAATGAGTTCACAGTGTACTGTCTACTATTAATGAATAATTGTGTTTTGTCAAGGATCAAATGTCCGTCTTCAACAAATAACGAATTAAATATGAATTATATACAAACTCATCATCCATCATAATGATTATGCACAATCTAATTATAGTGTATACAGAAAATGAACCAAACATGTACGTTGGTTTGTTTGTTGTTTAGCGCCGCACTCAGCAATATTCCAGCTATATGACAGCGGTCTGTAAATAATCGAGTCTGGACCAGACAGTCCAGTGATTAACATCATGAGCATCGATCCACGCAATTGGGATCGATGACCTGTATCAACCAAGTCAGCGATCCTGACCACCCGATCCCGTTAGTAGCCTTTTACGACAAGCATAGTCACCTTTTACGGCAAGCATGGGTTGCTGAAGACCTATTCTATCCCGGAATCTTCACGGGCCCACATGTACGTAACCCATGTGACAAACAGTATTAGTATTGGATGCCGATAACTGTCATAGTTTTTTTTCCAAGCACTGTGAGTATATATGTTTTGTTTGTTTGTTTGTTTGTTGTTTAACGTCGCACTCCAATATTCCAGCTAAATGACGGCGGTCTGTTAGTAATCATGTCTGGGCCAGACAATCCAGTGGTTGACATCATGAGCATCGATCCATGCAATTGGGATACGATGGCATACATCAACCAAGTCAGCGAGCCTGACCACCCGATCCCGTTAGTCGCATTTTTCGGCAAGAATGGGTTGCTGAAAACCTAGTCTAACCCGGTTCGTCACGGGTCAAGATATGTAAACAAAAATAGTTTTTGCCATCCTTTACAAATTAGATGAAGCCTTTTAAAGGTTAAATCGATTAAGCAAATGAATGAATATAATTTAGAAATAATCAAAATCTGACATATGTAAGGAGATACACTAGTACTTGTAAATTCGATGTAAAGGGACAGTCGACAAAGGCAAACTCGTTTAATCCAGTTAACCCGCGTCTAACGGCAGTTAAGTGGTATTAACCACAACTTTAACGTTTAATCAGCATGGAACTAGTTTTATCACTAATTTGCCTTTAATGCCCTATGCAATCTGTTTCCGCGCTTACGCGAGATTATTCTCTGGCGTTGACAGTTTAAATTCGTGTAGAGATAGCTTATATGTAATGTGTTCAGAGAAACGTTGTATTAACGTGGTATTAAAGATGACACTCGAGATGGGACCGCCTATTTTGTATTCGCGGCAAGATGGGGTGCTGGATCACGTCCGGTGTTTTTTAACAAACCCGAGGCAATTTTTTCACATTTCAAGTACTTTTTTATCCATTTAAACTCCTCCTCTTCGAGTATATATCGGGGTGATGAGGTAGCCTAGTGGTTAAAGTTCGCTCGTCACGCCGAAGACCCGGGTTATATTCTCCACATGGGTTCAGTATGTCAAAAGGATCAATATGCCACTTCTATTGGTTATGTAAAGGTTTTTCTCGCTTATATTTAATTATAATGTCCCTGAGAATGTATTTGTTCTTACATTACTTTCATCCCATAACGCCGTCGCTCCTCCGAAGTTTCCGGGTTCGACAGCAATGACCTTCACGCCAAACCGTTTCATCTCGAGGCGTAAGGTGTCCGTCAATCCCTCGGCGCCATATTTGGAAATATTGTAGGCACCAAAGCAGGGGTAGGCACACAATCCTTTGACACTAGTGACGTTCACTATTCTCCCTAAGCACAAAATTGAAATAAAATTAGTCAGAAATCTAACGTGGTACCTTGACATTATCCACATCTGTTGCATATGTATCCTTATCGTGTACGTCAAAGAAGCATAACGCCGATAGGTTATGAACAAACAAATATAAGGTATTCAATAAGTGTTTTATCAACATATTTCGCTTTGATCTAGATGGAAATATTTTGCATTTTTTAAACGATTCTATGATGTTGGGAGGTGATCATGGGTGGCCCAATGACGCTATGCAGAGTTACCTCCCATGAGGGTGCCAGGAACCTACGATCGTTGGATCAAATTCCAGATTCGCCCTGGGTGCGTGAAAACCATGGAATTCAGCAAAGGTAGAAGTCGATTTTCTTCCTTACTAAGATGCACGCCGTGACGTCACTGAAATAGTGTTAATACCGGCAATAACTCAAGCTCACTCTGTCACTCTGAAATAATGATTCATCATCACCTTGTGTATATCTAACAAGGGGCAGGAAGGCCTTCGTTACCCTTATTACGCCAAGGAGGTTGACGTCCACCACTCTCTGAAATATATCCATGGTAGTCAGCTCCACGTCCCCGAAGCTGACCACTCCCGCGTTGTTGACCAGGCCCCATAAGCCTGAAGCATTTAACAGTCATATAATTAAGGTAAGGTGAAATGGGGTTTAACGTCGCGCCCAAGATTATTGCACTTATACAGCGACGTGCATGCACGTGTGTGCACGTGTGTGTGGCTGCTTGTACTAGACCGGAGTGATGCCGATTTATATAGTGCTAGCTCACTGAGATACCGTGCCGCAGTTTAACATGAATACCCCACTCAGAGACACTGACTCCGAGCCGACCAGTCCTTGTTTAAGCCCCTTAATGCCGAGCGCCAGGCAGGGTAACAACAAGTACCATCTTTTAACGTCTTTTGGTATGACGCGGCCGGGAATCGAACTCCGGACCTTCGAATTCCGCTCTCCGGGCGGACGCTCTACCACTAGACCATGGAGGCGGTCAGTAATATAAGGTCAATGAGATAGAATATTAAAACCCAGATTTATAGGTGTATTCATATTTCTATCCATGGAAAGAAAGGAGTAAAACAAACGGAAATGCATCTTCAAGAAACCACTGGAACAAAGAATTATTCAGCTATAGTATCACCCCTGGTGATCGCGATAGACGGACACGAACAGACGTTTTCGACGTTTATTGATGATAGAGGAGCAAAATATAAATAGACACACAAGTCCAAAACACGTGAGCACCTGTTGACAACGAGTTGGCGGTGCACATTCTTTGCAAATCCTGCAATCGACCGAAATCAGTACGACAGTCTACGAACCGGATTTCGATTTCGATGCACGATTTTGATTGGACTATTCATGGACTCGTTAGCCCAGCCAAAATGTAACTCCGTAATACCAGCCTAGTTCGGCAAGGATGGAAACTGGACTTTTATAGTCAGTTAACTCCCTTGCCTCGGGAAGATGTGTGAAACAATATACTGAGTTAAATTACCATAAGGCCGATAATTTTGTGATGCGATCCAACAGTGAGATATATTAGAACAGTTATATCACTTAAAAATATACATTGGTTATAAAAAGTTATATGGGAGTATTGACTATTGAGTGAGTGAGTGAGTGAGTTGGGTTTAACGCTGCTTTCTTTACACGTTGAAACAAGGATGGATTGAGTAAGACAATTACATTGATCTAACCCCTGTATTTACCATCAGTGGTTTTGAACCTATCCATGACCACCATAAAGGACGCCTGGCACTGAGGGTAGAATCCCTTACCTTTGGGTTTCATCGAAGCGTGATAAAGAGATGTACAACTTGGGTACTGACCACTTGGTATTATGGGATGAGACCTTGAGTTTTTATAAATTGAACTCAGGTTTGAAAATGAACGTTCACTGGCCTTGATGTTGTTGGATCCCAAATCAAAGTTAGACTCTCTCTTTTTCAGAGAAAGAGATTGTATCAAATTATGTCTCAAACATAACATCGCATTATAATAAGTCAGTGTAAAATTGGCCTTATATCCTGTCACCAAGTATTTGCACGTCTCGCTACATATATACACAGGTGTTCAGCAACCCATGCTTGCCAAAAAAGGCTTGTCGTAAGAGGCGACTAACGGGATCGGGTGGTCAGGCTCGCTGACTTTGTTGATGCATGTCATCGATGCCAATTGCGTGGATCTATGCTCATGTTGTCAATCACTTGATTGTCTGGTCCAGACTCGATTATTTACAGACCGCCGTCCTTGAACGCACTTATTCCCAGACTGCAGACTAGTGAGTGAGTGACTGAGTGAGTTCGGTTTAACGCCGCTTTTAACAGTTTTCTAGTTATATCACTGCAGCTTAACGTGGGAGGAAAGCCCGAAGTGATGCAGTTCTCACGAACCGGGATTCGAACCCACAATGATAGGTTTCTGGCGTGCAACTCTGCACAGCCTAAGACGACTGGGCCACCCGCTCCCCCTGGTCTGCAGAGTAATGTACATTACATTTAAAACTAGACAACTGTATGGTATGTCCGGAACAAGAATGTAAAAGTCTTGGCTGAAAGCTGCTTAGTGTTGAAGATCCCCTGATGTTGAGAGGTTGAATTTCCAAGAGAAGCTGGTATGAAGGGAGAACGCCTGTATTACGCATGGTTCACTAAACCAAACTCACTTACTTCCACCCTCAAAAGATACGATGATAGTGGCGTTACTGCGTATTCGTTCTCACAGGTAAACGACCTGGCGTCGTTCAAAACCCAATCTGCGGATCGATGGAACACACGGTAATCACCCGACATCTTATGGACAATTTATTGAGTGGCGCACACGTGCGGTCGCAGATGTGTGCGGGTGCAATTAAACACCACCGTAAGCTTCTTAATTTAATTCACTTTCAGTACTTAATGTGAATAATACATAACTGTAATGCTAGAAAACACCTGACATCCGTCGAAGGCTCCTTGACAATTGTATTTCTTTATTTTTGTATTTGTGGTTTAACGCCGCACAGCAATATTCCAGCTATATGACGGCGGTCTGTAAATAATCGAGTCTGGACCAAACAATACAGTGATTGACACATGAGCATCAATCCACGCAATTGGGATAGGGTGACAATTGTAATAACCTGGTTAGGCCACAGTTTGACGGGACGATAGAAGAAATAGGATACCAAATGTTTGGGTCTCTGTAAAAAAACATATAGTCTCATTTTATTGATGCTGCTGTGTGTAATAGACTATGATTGAAGTGATGACATCTCTGTAAACCAATTGCGTGGATCGATGCTCATGATATCAATCAATGGACTGTCTGGTCCAGACTGGATTATTTACAGACCGCCGTCATATAGCTGGAATATTGCTGAGTGGGGCGTTAAACAACAAACAAACAAAACATCTCTGTAAAACGTTACAAGAAATTTTAAAAACTAACATTCAGGATTAATTGTTTTATATTATCACATGATATTGTGTTTTCAAAAGGGTATCTCCCAGTTTTAGTATAAACCTGGTGAGAAAAACATTTAAATTGGGCATATGTTATTCATTATTATTTCACAATCACACGATTAAGATAGAAGGATGTTCACAAAGACACCTTGAATGAGGAATATGAGAAGGTATCACCACACGTTAAAGCATTCTCGTGGGTTTCACCGAAGTGGTAAATGTCTGAGACCTGCATCACTTCGGGCTTTCCTCCCAAATTAAGCTGACACGCCGGGATATGGAATACTGTTAAAAGCGGCGTTAAACCCAACTCGCTCATCCACTCACTGAAGCATACTATCTCGGTCCTGATCATGGATGTACTTTAGACGAGAGATAAATTCTGATAAAAACAATTATTCATATTGGAGTAACCAAAACTAAATGATACAATAACAATTCTAGTTTGGAGACCACGTTAATGTTACTTGCTGCTTGAAACGGCATCTGATAACGTCTCAGCTCAGTGGCTTTCATCCCTTATGCCGAGTCAACTACGAAATGGACCCGTGAAGATCCGGGGTCGAATAGTTATTCAACAACCCATGCTTGCCGGGCTGACATGATTGGGAGGTCAGGTTCGCTGACTTGGTTGATGCATGTCATCGTATCCCAATTGCGTGGATCGAAGCTTAGGATGTCAAACACTGGAATGCCTGGTCCAGACTCGATTATTTACAGACCGCCGTCATGTAGCTGGAACATTGCTTAGTGCGGCGTTAAACAACAAACAAACAAACAAACAACTACGAAATGAAGCGACAAAAACCCTTTCCATATATGATAGAAACCTCTGCATAGTGCAGAGTCGATTGTACATTGTTAATGAATCACTGTCAAAATGGTGTTTGCGAAAAGGTGAGCATATCCTGCCTCACCTGTGGCACCCGTCACAAAAACATGCAAAGGCAAGTCAATTGTTCAGCTGAACATACACGGGAAAATATGGTACAAGTCAAAATAGGGAACTGCATCGGACATCATTTTTGTCTCTGATGCGTCAAATTTGTAAAGGTCCTCCACATAAACCGTAAAACGTTCTGAAAGCTTTACTGAGGCCTTTGAATGTTGATCAAACAACTCCTGAGCAAGAGTCGTATGACGCTCTTTGAAGTCATGGTAGAAAGAGCATGCTCGATTGTATCTCAAGAGTTGTGAAATGTGAACACCCAAGGCTGGATCTGTTGGAATATTGCTCGATATGAAGGGAAAGTTGACTACATATACAGTAAAGTACGGTTATAACGAACTCAAAGGGACTACTAATTTTAGTTCGTTTTAACCGTAGTTCGTTATAAGCATATATACAGCATAACTACAGCAAAAAGTCGGGACCGAAAAAGTAGTTCGTTATATCCGTCAGTTCGTTATAAGCGTGTTCGTTATAACCGTAGTTTACTGTATTGTATATGAAAGTTGAAGTCATCCCTCTTGTCAAACAGTCTTGTGTAGAGTGTTTTGTCACACTGAATCTTTGTGCACAGATCTAAATATGAAATATGTGAGGCGGTCTCATTGGGCCGAGACATTAAAACTGCTTGGAACTATAGCAGGAGATTACACATTTGATAGAAAGTTCATACCTACCCGTTCCTTTGCATATTTTTCTTGCTCTTTCAAAACACAGCTCCACGCTTTCATCGGAAGTGACGTCAAGTCTTATGACGTGGACACGGCCACTTCTGTTCTTCTTCAGTTCACGAGCACCTGGCCCCTCAACGTCAAGACATGTCGCTATGACGGTGAACCCCTCTAGAAGGAGCCGCTGTGCCAGTCCGTAACCTATTCCTTCATCAACATGGAAACATTGTTTATTAATAAGATTTAGGTATTTTCCAAACAGACAACATTCCCAAGCATGTATGGGGCGGTGGATAGCCTAGTTGTTAATGCGTTTTCACGTCACGCCGAAGACCCGGGTTCGAATCCCCACATGGGTACAATGTCTGAAGCCCATTTCTGATGTCACCAGTCGTGATATTGCTGGAATATTGCTAAAAGCTGCGTCAAACCATACTCACCTACTCCAAGCATGTATGGGTATTTTGTCGCAGAACATCAAGAATAGCGCATAACTCTTGGCAGTGAACGGAATGGTTTTACATGTACACAGACCCTAAAAATCGGGGCGGTCGGGTAGCCTAGTGGTTAAAGAGTTCGCTCGTCACGCCGAAGACCCGGATTCGATTCCCGACATGGGTACAATGTGTGAAGCCCATTTCTGGTGTCCCCCGCTGTGATATTGCTGGAATATTGCTAAAAGCGATGTAAAGCCATCCTCACCCACTCACCCTAAAAATCGCCCCCACCCTTACGTTTTCTATTTGCTTAACCAAACAAATGTATAGAATAGAAGAATTGGTACATTTGATTGATGTGTGATGTCTCGTGTTTCTTAAACCGAAACCATTATTCACAAGGCAACATTTCACCATGCACGTAGTACAAATGTGTAAAGCATGCTTTTTTACGAACCTGGGCAGGACAAAACCTTTAAAACTCTAAAAACGCATGTCACAACTCAGTTCCATTGCTCTCGTAGAAGTGAATATTAAAACACAGCGACGTTTTGGTTGAAAATGTGAAATCTGTAGCCGGGGAAAAGCGAGAGGTGGACAGTCTTCTGAACTGTTTGATTCGGTTGAAGTTTGACATATCTTGTTCCTTTCGTCACCATACGGAGCATGACTTTGTTGACACGGCTCGTGGACTGTTACGGTCACGCATCAACGTAAGTCTCGACATGGTGTTGTAACACGCTTGAAAACATGTTCGATTTTATGCTGCTGGTGTACAGAGTTTTATCATAAGCAGCATTTATCAAATATACTGCAAAAGAAATGTTTGGACTGAGACATTGAAACTGGAATCTCAGGCCCATTAGAATCTCTTTCTGCGGATAATCGAGACTGGTTATTCTCTGGCTTTGATAAGGATCTGCATTCAATTCATTGACCGGTATTGTTTTATGAAATAAACTATGGCCTGATTCTATGTCATACAGAGTGTGTATAGCTTTTCTGTGGCAGAGCATCTAATAAGATTATATTTTTTCAATCCAAAAGTGGTTCCTGAAATCGAATCAACAAACATACACATGGTGTGTGTGCATTGACATGTATACACAGTAAAAAAAGTGTTGCACCCCCACATTAATACGTTTGATACATCACAACATTTAAAACGCCCGACTCTGGTTTTAATGGTAGGTATTCCTTGGGGATCTGATTTTAAATGTGTAATGTTTTCGGAGGGAAGATGATCACCAAAACGTAGCAATCAGCACGTGAATTGCATGGTGCATGACATTTGCAGATTGCAGTATCTTCTTAAGCTCAACATCGCCTATAAAAGATGTTCTCTGACAGCCCAGTTTATTGTAACCCACAATGCCGGGTAGACGATTGTCAGAAGCAGTCAAGTGGCAGATTATTGGCCTTCATGGAGCAGGTCTTTCGTTCAAGGAGATTGGCAGAAGAACCGGACATCACTACTCAACAATAAGCCGTTTGGTCAGAAAACACGCACAAACTAATGATGTAAGGAATCGCAGACCCTCTGGCAGACCACGTAAGACCACAGTTAGAGATGACAGAGCGTTGTTGAGGGTGGTAAGGCGTCATCCATTTGCTACAAGCACAACCTTGAAACGTCTTTGGCTTCCTCGTCAACAGTTCAGTACCCAGACCGTGAGAAATCGTCTTAAAGCTGCAGGGTTGAAGTCCAGAAGGGTTATCAAGCGACCTAAACTCACAGACAACCACAAACGACTACGTCTAGCCTGGTGTAGACTGAGACAGAACTGGAACTTGAGGTCCTGGAGAAGAGTCCACTGGTCGGACGAAAGCAGGTTCCTTCTGCATGTTGTGGATGGCAGAGTGAGAGTATGGAGGCGTCCTGGAACAGCTTATACTGCAAGAAACATCATGCCAACTGTACCATATGGAGGTGGATCTGTTATGGTCTGGGGATGCTTCTCATTTGATTGTAAGCTTGATTTAGTGACCATACGAGGCAAGTTGACAGGGGAGCGCTACATCCAAGAGGTGCTGAATCCAGTTGTGGTGCCCCATTTTGACAATCATCCACTGGCCACCAGACCGATATTCATGGATGACAATGCCAGACCACATCGTTCACGAGCTGTGACCCAGGTTATCCACAACAATGCTCTGACGCAGATTCCATGGCCAGCAATGAGTCCAGATCTGAATCCTCTGGAACATGTATGGGACATTTTGGGACGCCTGATTTATCGTCGGGACCCTCCTCCACAGAACTTGCGTGAATTGGAAGCAGCATTACACGAGGAGTGGCAGCAGCTGCCCATGGAGCGATTCCAACGTCTGGTGAGGAGTATGAGACGAAGACTTCAAGCTGTGATCCAAGTGCTTGGTGGAAGTTCTCGATATTGACTTACTGTGTTCGTCAAATCTCCATATGACATTCTTACGCTATTGGATGAATTTGGTCACTAAAAATTATTGAGATGTCACCATACTTAATGCGTCTTTGTTGTTCGTTCATTTTTCGTAAAAGTTCAGCATGAGATTATTACATGCCATTAGGTCATGGAATACCCCATTTAAGTTCATTGTATAGACAATACACTGGTTTGTTGGTATACACGAAATCCTGCTTATAATATTAATTCGGTTATCTTTACACCCTTTCAAAACACCCCTCCATGAAAAAGTATAGGGGGTGCAACACTTTTTTTACTGTGTATATATAAACATACGTGCAGTTCTGTATATTGTACGACTGCTTCAAATATTGTTGTCCAGTGAATGTGAAACATGTTTATGAGACCCTGAAGATCCGGGGTAGAATAGGTCTTCAGCAACCTATGCTTGCCGTAAAAGGCGACTATGCTTGTCGTAATTATATGAGGCCATTAACGGGATCGGGTAGTCAGGCTCGCTGACTTGGTTCATGCATGTCATCGTATCCCATTTGGGTGGATCGATGCTCATGATGTCAGCCACTGGATTGCCTGGTCCAGACTCGATTATTTACAGACCGCCGTCATATAGCTGGAATATTGCTAAGTGCTGCGTTAAACAAAAAACAAACAAGTACATGAAGTGCTCTTAATATAATAATGAAAGAGTTTTTTTCGTGTGTTTTGAGTATATCCGTTCCGATGTGAACCATCGGTTCGATGTTGGTGTAACCAGTCGAGGGAAACAGTTTCTATACAACACGCTACATTAACATATTTGAACGTTTGGCTGCAGTTATTGATCGTCGCCATGGGGTAAAATGGATTAAGGTTCACATGTACCTGTATCACAGCCAGTGATGAGGACGGTCCTGCCATATGCTGACAAACTCCTTACACGCTTCCTCTGTAGAGCCGTAAAACAAATGTATCCAATAGCAAGGCATAACACTGCCAGGAGTACACAAGGTTGAAGGGCAGCATATCCTGAACTCAGGACGGAGATGAGCAAACCCACTTGGTATATAGCAGCTTCCTCCAACATCTTGCATCACAACTGCAATCAAGTGCATAAAACATCCATCAGATAAGTCAGTATTGGGAAGAAATTGTAAGTTCGATAATGACAAAAACATGTGAAATAATTGAATGGTAGAAAATGTAATTTCATAAAGAATGAGAAATAGTTTTATAGATGTGGTTGGTTGGTTGGTTTGTTGTTTAACGCCGCGCTCAACAATATTCCAGCTGTATGACGGCGGTCTGTAAATAATCGAGTCTGGACCAGACCATCCAGTGATTAATATCATGACATACATCAACCAAGTCAGCAAGCCTGACCACCCGATCCCGTTAGTCGCCTCTACCACAAGTATAGTCGTCTTTTACGGCAAGGTTGGATTGTTGAAGACCTATTCTACCCCGGATCTTCACGGGTCTGAAGTCAAAAGAATCAACCTATATATTACGATAACAGCGGTAGACATACAAGCACAGACTGTAAGACATGTTTTCGTTATTTGTTGCTCGTTGACCTTTTGACGGAGGATCTGCGTTATCTGAGTGATCTATTTCCTGGCCTTACATAATAATTGTTTACGCTAGAACATAACTATATTGTCGATAAGAAACATAAAACTAAAGCATGTTTGAACACATTTTGTATCTAACATCAACATCAGCATCAAGTCTACATAGTTTCAATACACATAAGATTAACCTTATTATTATTATTTTATTATTAAACATGTTTTATTGTCCAAAAAGACAAAGGGATTTGGCACAAGTGCAGCACTTATTACCGCCTTCTCCCTAACCTTTCTTCGATCCCGTGAAGATACCGGGGTAGAATAGGTCTTCAGCAACCCATGCTTGCCGTAAAAGGTGACTATGCTAGTCGTAAAAGGCGACTAACGGGATCGGGTGGTCAGGCTCGCTGACTTGGTTGATGCATGTCATCGATCCCAATTGCGTGGGTCGATGCTCAAAAGCTGGAATATTGCTGAGTGCGGCGTTAAACAAAAAACAAAAAACAAACCATAACCTTTCTACCTGTATTTCCAGATCAGTGGATCAGCTCGTGGATCAGCTCGCGAATATCACTGGTGTGAGCTTACCCTCTGCGTGTTTTCAGTTTTTCTCGTCAACACATTCTACCCGCGTCACAAAGAAACACGACTACGTTTTCCATAAACATACCTGAGCAGAGATTCTGCAAAATATCAGACGGCTTATCTTAACACGCACCTGTTTCATGTAATCTTCGTAACGTTGAACAGTTGAACAGCTGTTGAAAGGTCAGACTAACTGTACCACGTTAGCCTGAACCGTATTTCATCATATTTAAGTGAGGGTCTGATACTATTTGTTCACTTCAAAAATCACACTGGTACTTTTCAAATGAAAACTATTCCATCTTTGGATTTCTGTCTATTTTATTTCATGAGTATTTCATGTCAATTCATGTCATGTCATGTCATGTCATGTCATGTCACAGCTGTTTCATGTCATTTTATTTCACTTCATTTCATGATTGACTGCAAATAAAGCAAAAATACCATTACTTTAGATTGTAAATACAAATAAACTATACTCAGAAACATGTCTTTGCAAAAGAACATTGATTTTAGGACACATTAGGAAATTTATGGTTATTTACCAGAAGCAATGTAATTAATTCAAATACATAACATCACAATTATACATCAAAAACTAAAGATATTAGTAAAAATGCTGTTGTATTTACCTAGTTGTTGACCTATTTTATCACATCATGTGGCTACCTAGCCAGCTGCCATGTGGCTCTGTGCATGCCTTACATGCCATGATTACATGCATGTATAAATAGACTAGTGCACAGCGCACCCTATTGGGCTTAAGAAAATGAAAATAGTCTACCTTGATACCCAGGCCAACTGAAGCATCATAAAATGAAGACATCTTTAAGCTTATGACCATTACACTATTAGTTATCAAATAGTTCCGTTTAGTACAAATAGTTCCGTTTAGTACAAATAGTTCCGTTTAGTACAATCCCGACTTTACATTTGTACGTTTAGATACGTTTTGAGTCGTCAGGAGTTGATTGTGAGGAGTGAAAATATCTATGTCACACAACCAACCCACAGGGGTAAAGGTATATACTATTTGCACGTAGTCCCCAATTTATCAGACTGCTCATAATTGTAAAGTACATGCATGTCCAGTGCAAAAATACTATTTACTTGGGAAGTAAGTAATGTCGACTGGAATATTGATGAGGACTAGCCTCATTCAAACATTAGACGGAGGCAGTTTGATGTATACCCGTGCTCGTGGGTTACACCGAAGTGGTAAACATCTTGGAGCAGCATCACTTCGGGCTTTCCTCCCACATTACGCCGCGATATAACTGGAATAATGTTAAAAGCGGCGTTAAACACAACTCACTTGCTTTCCTTGGGCACGCCAGCAACCTATGATTGCGGGTTCGAATCCTGGTTAACCCCGATTATGTTCCTAGGTTTGTCAGCACCATACCCGTGCTCGTGGGTTTCACCGAAGTGGTAAACGTAAAGACCTGCACAACCTCGGGCTTTCCTCCCACATTAAGCTGACACGCCGCGATATAACTGTAATACTGTTAAAAGTGACGTTAAATCCAACTCACTCAATTAATGACGAGGCGTATTTAATGATAACTGTTGATAATGATAACATCTAACCAGCTCGCAGTTGAACGTCAATGGTGAGTCGGAAACACAGACTGACTTATACAACATATACATGGCTTATATACACATGAACGTTCTGTTTGTTTGTTGTTTAACGCCGCACTCAGCAATATTCTAGCTCTATGACGGCGGTCTGTAAATAATTGAGTCTGGACCAGACAATCCAGTGATTAATATCATGAGCATCGATCCACGTAATTGGGATCAATGACATTTATGAACCAAGTCAGCGAGCCTGACCACCCGATCCCGTAAGTCGCCTTTTACGACAAGCATAGTCGCCTTTTACGGCAAGTATGGGTTGCTGGTTACCAAGCCATGTTGGTATCAAAGGTAACACAATGGCCGATGCTGCTGCAAAAGCAGCCCTCAACAAATCTGTGACACCACTTCTGATCCCATACACTGATTTTAAACCCTTGATTCGATCTTACATCAGAGATCTTATGCAACAGAAGTGGGACGCCCAAGTAGGTATCAATAAATTACATGAAATTAAACCAAATATCGGTTACACCTACTTGGGCTGTCAGTCCAGATTTGAAGAGGTCATTATGCGACGATGTCGTATTGGCCACAGCAGATATACGCACGAATATTTATTACAAGGTGAGGATCCTCCGTTTTGTATCCCTTGTGATGAAAGAATCACGGTCAAGCATGTACTGCTTGACTGTGTTGATTTTTCCATCGCAAGGGATAAATATTTCAATGTAAAAACAATTAAGGACCTTTTTAATGATGTTAATTCTCGTTTAATATTATGTTTTTTAAAGGAAATAGAGCTTTTTCATAAATTTTGATGTGTTCAATGTATTGTTTTACAAATTGGTAGTGCGAAATTCATAACTTAGATTGTTAGTGGCTGTACCCTTGAGGGGGGTTGAAGTAGCGTAAAATTATTGTCCCCCTAAGAGGGTATGTAAGTCCCAAATCATTCGAAGTATTTTTCTGCACACTAGGCTTTTAAACGTAGTATCTTCGTTATTTTAATCTAAGGCTTAACTGGTACACTGTCGCCAGTGACTGAAGGGATGATATAAATCCTGCCGGGGTCCATGCAGGAAGCAAAAGTACTGTAAGTCCCCATGGTCCCCAGTATGGTGATCTCCCTTCAGTTGCTGACGATTTCTAGCCCATTTTTAAATTGTGATGTTCATTAATGCTTACTGCCTTTTAATATTCTCAACTAGTTTTAAATCAAGTCTGTGATATTCTAGTTATTCTACTGTCCTTCGTTGACAGCTTTTTATTCAGTTTAAATATATGTATCATAAATGTATCATAAATGTAATTTCTCGTCACGATATGGCTGAAATATTGCCCATGTGACGTTAAATAATAACTCACTCACTCACTGCTGAAGACCTATTCTACCCCGGAATCTTCACGGGTCCCGGGCAATTGGGATCAATGACATGCATGAACCAAGTCAGCGAGCCTGACCACCCGATCCCGTTAGTCGCCTTTTACGACAAGCATAGTCGCCTTTTACGGCAAGTATGGGTTGCTGAAGACCTATTCTACCCCGGAATCTTCACGGGTCCCGGGCAATTGGGATCAATGACATGCATGAACCAAGTCAGCGAGCCTGACCACTCGATCCCGTTAGTGGCCTTTTTACGACAAGCATAGTCGCCTTTTACGGCCTTTTACGCCTTTATAAAAGTCAGAAGGAATGTGTGCATTGTCAGAAAGAAATGGGAACATTAGTAACTTGTAGCGAAGTTAGAGAGTTTTCGGTATTTTTTGTTATTAAACAATATATCACGTGACTAAACACGGGTCCGGGTAGTCCTGTGGGTACCCGAGTCCTACTGAGGACCCACCCGATCCTAGTGCCCGTGTTACCCGTCCCAGCCCTAGGTTCAGTCGATAGCTTTATCGAAGAATAGTTTCCTGTAATGCATGGATCACAAAGCCATACGGATCATGCTGACATGAAGAGTCCCTAAAATACCACCAAGACACTAATGCCAACCAATGTAACGAGTTCGTGTAAAGATCGCTGTTAATTATCAGCTACACCTGATCCTCACGTGCAGCTTGGCGGAAACGTTTTGGTATGTGTCCTACTTCCACATGAAGGAAGGAAGGAAGGAAGGAATGAAGACGTAAAAGGATCGGGTGGTCAGGCTCACTGACTTAGTTATTGCATGTCATCGTATCCCAATTGCGTAGATCGATGATCATGATTTTCCTGGATTATCTGGCCGCACTTGATTATTTACAGACCGCAGTCATAGAGCTTGAATATTGCTGAGTGCGGCGTTAAACAACAAACCAACCAACCAACCAACCAACCAACGAACAGATATCCAACGTAATCAAGCAACGTTCATGGCAACTGCTGGCTTTCCTGGCGTATTTGATGTAATTGACGGCACCCATGTCCGCATAATTGCCCCGAGTGTCGATGAGTACGTTGAGTGCGGCGTTGAACAACAAACAAACAAAATTCTTTTACGGTCCTACCGTCGGGACCCGCCGCACTCAGCAATATAACAGCAAAATGACGGCGGTCTGTTAATAGTCGAGTCTGGACCAGACAATCCAGTGATTAATATCATGAGCATCGATCCTAGCATTTGGGATCGATGACATGCATCAACCAAGTCCGCGAGCCTGACCACCCGATTACCAACTGTTTTCATGTTCTTTGAGATCCGTGGTAGAATAGGTCTTCAGCAACCCATGCTTGTCGTAAAAGACGACTAACGGGATCGGGTGGTCAGACTCGCAGACTTGGTTGATGCATGTCATCGATCTCAATCGAGAGTGATTATTTTCTGACATTGGCGTTTTGTATGGACAGCTTTTGTGATCAATTCTCATCCCGAACAATACGATTATTTCTGGAAGATACCAACTCCAAATCACGGTTGCAGATAGCTTTTCCTTTGTACGTTACACGCGACACATTGTCCGCCATATCATTCACGACCTATTGGTGTGAGTATTGATTCCGCTCTGATTGTACATAGAACTGACACTAAATGAGATACTAGTATGTTAAATATACAGTAGTGATGATGGAAGGAATTACTATTGGCTTTTCACTCAACGCTGATGGTAAACCAGGCACTGATTTAGTTTTGCCAGACCGTTACCCAAATAAGAAAACATTCAATTTGACCATGAGTTCTCTTTCGGGTGAACATTCATCTCGCTATAGCCGTTAAATACATACTTCGTTACCCGCGTGAGTTTTATGATAATATGTGGTAATGTGCTTCAGCATGCCCTCTGTATATTTCTTCATGTGAATGTTCATTTTTCGCTGTGCAGAGTTGCGTCCATTTGGGCACGCCAGAAACCTGTGTTCGTGGGTTCGAATCCCGGTTCACCCCTTTTATGTTTCTTGGTTTGATAGCACCATACCCGTGCTCGTCAGTTTCAACAAAATGGTAAAAGTGTAGGACCTGTATCACTTCGGAGCTTTCCTCCCACATCAAGCTGACACGCTGTGATATCTCTGAAATACTGGTCCTTCACTTATTTTTCA